TTATTGCTTTAAAATACTAAATTATATATATAGTGACTCGATATTAATAGAATAAAATGCATTTTTTTATAGATATATCTATGGTGGAATTGTCAATATTGAATTAATTAGCCAATGCCAATGATTTAGAGATTGAAGAACTATAAGAAATTAGAAAGTTATCTTATCGAATCCAAAGCTTCTTGATTAAGAACTCATTTCTCCTTTGTTTATCATACAATCTTTGATGGTAATGAATTTAAAGGTTTGAAAAAAATTTATAATGATATTATTGTAAACATCCAAATTTAATTTTTGAATCAGACGATTTCACTTCACTCCAAGAAGCGACATTGATATCCATTTTGAAAAGAAAGTCGAAGAAATTAAAATTTGGGATTATATCCAAATGGTCCATTGCACAAAATTCTTCCTTACCTAATAATTCGGAAAATGGTCGAATGAAAATTTTAAGGCTTTAAAAACAACACTACAACTATATTTCCCACTTATCCGCTATTTTCAAATTTCGAGCTGAGATATTTGGAAGAAAGTGAAGCCCTATGAAAAATCATTTTAAAACAACTTCAGGATGATGTCATGATCCAGCACCATATGTTCTCAAATAATCCGTTAGAATCACTTATTTGGCCAGCAAAAATCATTTTGGATCCTTATTTACCTTCAATAACCATTTAAACCCCCTGAATTAATTTGCATCGACCTTTCTCAACAAATTGAAAATCAACTGCTTATTCTTAACCAAATATGATTTTCAATTAATTCTTCGAGGAAGTAAGAAGGTTTTCACCCCAATAAATTTTGGAAGATGTGCTATAATGTTAGTACTATTGTTGTTTCAAAGATTGCTGGAACTGATGAAATAGTTAGCGGTTATAATCCTTCGACATTGATTTAGAAACAAATGATACATGTAATTTCATTTTCTTTGAAAGATGATGATAGTAGTGAAGCTCTATACTATCCTAATGATCCAATATTTATAGTCTGGTAATTGTGAATTTATGATGAGATCAAATGTTCCCGATTTTATTCAAGATAAAGTGATCACGATCCTAGATTTATAATTATAATTCTAATTAATAATAAAGCTACGAAACTATTATTTTATATTCGTAAATAAAAAAATTAAAATTACGAATTTTGATATTATTTTATTCGCAAAATATAATTAGGCAACAAATATTAAGGTTAAAAAAAAATAAAAAGAATGGAAGTTAATCTATTCTAAATATATAAATGATTATTTCATTTCCATTTACTGATTTTTCGTTCACTCTTCTTCCTTCATTCACTCTCAGTTTTTTTTAATCTTTATATAAACGTTAAACCATAATTATTCTTTTTTTTAAAAAAAAAAGAAAATGAAAAAAATCGCTTACTGGCCGTTGTAATGAGTCGACGAAACAATTAAAATAATTTTAAAGATGGATCCGTCATCAAAAAGGGTTCAAGATTCGCCAGAAAAATATGATAAAGTCGTTAAACAGTTTGAGAATATAAAAGAGCATTCTTATACGAAATCAAATATCATTCCATTACCTCATCTATTTCATGTAGGAAGAAAAAGAGACGAAAGAAATATAATCTGATGAGACATTTGTTAGATATTTTAATTGAATGAAAAGAAAAACCAATCTTTCTACTAATAAATATTTTTATTAAATTTATATTTGTTAAAATATTTGGATAGGTCATATAGGTCTGTTGGCAGCGAGCGAAGATAGGTATTACTATCAATTTTTTAACAATTATTAATTATTCAATTTAATGAGATTTAGGTAATAATTTCAGATGAAGCACTGGTATTACATGTTTACAAGAGTTAAGAGTCAATGATAATCTTTAGCAAAGAATTTGTCTTAAGAAATCAAACAATAAAATTAGGCTTTCTAAAGTTCTTAACCCAAAGTTTCTAATAAAAATTTTTGTATCGATAACAATTTTTTTTTTATACCAATGATTTTTATTTGAGTATAAAATTAAAATTTATATCTTAGATGATTCGAATGATAAAAAAAAGTGAAGAAGAGTGGGAAAATAAAATGTATTATTTTTTATGAATTTTTTAGGAAACTTTTTTTTTTTTAACATAATCTTTCTAAAAAAAATAGAAATAAGAAAATTTGATACATCAATTGTTAAGATGAAGCCAGAGAAATAATAGGTATTAAAATGTAAAAATAAAGTATTCTGTGTTTTAAATGTCGACAATTCCCCTGTAGATGCATCTATAAAATTTATTTTATTTTAATAATTTTGAATCACAATATAATTAATTTAATATTTAAAGTATCTAAAAATTTTTTTATGATTTTTTCGCATACTTGAGTAATAATAGTTATGATATGATTTTCATTTATAGGAACGTTCTCTAATTCTTTATCAAAGTGTGATGAACAATAACGCAAGAAAGCTGTGCAGCAGTAAAAGATTCTTATTTCCTTCTTTGTCATTAAGAAGTCCTGAAAGTTCTTGAGATAATTTATCAAAAATTTAAAGTTATTTTATTCATTTTAATGAACAATCATTGTTTCAAAATCAGAGACATTCTAGTTAATCCATAATCAATATATCGTGAATCAATTAATTGGAGATCAGAAGCATTTTTTTTTTTATTATAATAGAACAAAAATGTATTACGCTCAATAATATGTTCATTATTAAAGATTTATTTCTTATCAAAAGTTTCGTGAAACAATTGACATTAAATAATAATAATAAAAGATGTATTAAATATTTTCTGATATAAAATATTATTAAAATAAAGAGATTGAAATTAGTCAATAGTTACAAAAAATATTTCTACATGCGCCAAATGTAATTAGTTAAATTGAATTATATTATATTTAATGCACAATTACTTATTATTTAAGATTGTCAAATTTTCCGGGCACGTTAATTTTTTAAGATACTTTTATTACACGTGCCTTTTCGTGGAAACTTAAAAAAAAATCAGAAATAATATAAAGTTTTATTTCACTAGAAATTATTGAATACCAAGTAAAATTATAGATGTTATTTCAAGCTACAAATTGGTATAAGATGATAAATATTTATCTATAATTTCTATATTTTCTTTCAGCCCCTTCAGGATACACCATTTGTTGCTTTTGATTAATAATCCTTAAAATAATGTTTCCATAACATTCTATAATATAATCGTTTTGCCAAAGTATGAGAAAAGATTCGACATCTCTCATTTCTTGAGGAAATTCTCTAATTTGGTTTGTATTATTTATACATTTAACTCCACGAGGTATTTTTGACAAGTATTCGTCATCTTCATTTAAAAAATATATTTTAGAAAAGTCAGAATTTATCCGTTCCATTCTTAATTTAAATCCATAATTTCTGATATAATCATATGTGTGCTTTTCGAGATCGGTCCATTTCTTGTAACTAAACGTCATGACTTTTTTTCTCTAATAACGTAAAATATAAATTAATTAATTAAAATGGCGTAGATTTTTAATTCATGCAATCAAAAAAAAATGAAATATTATTTACTTTGTTTCAAATAAAAATACTTTGTGGAAATTTTTTGCGAATATAATAAATTTTTATATTGTTTAAGAATTGTTTCTATACTTACTCTAAATGGCTAATCTTAATAGTGCAACTACGCCGTTGTATTTAGCTACGGATAAGAATGAGCTGTGCAATTACATTCTTGAAGTTTAAGCTTATCGAATACCATATTCGTAATCTGCGCTGAGTTAATAAATGCTTGATAAGTTCTATTTGTCTTGTGAAACAAGAAATTGGTAATTATGAAATACAATTTTGCTAATTTGTTATTTTCTATAGAAATTTTTAAAAATAAAATTTGGAAAGTTTTATTTTTTAGAAATGATCGATTGCCGTTGTTACCTAAGATTTATTATTTATAAATATTATTATTGTGTAAGGTTAGCTGCGCAACATGTAATGCTTCGCGGGACAGTACTTGGGTATATCCGAATAAAGGGGCATAGTATTTTGATACGGTGTTACCCATGCGATACTATGCTTTAATGGTGTTAAGTACTATTTTTTTAGATGTTCGATAGATCAAGATGCATCATCAATTGCTTGGGTGCCTTTTTCAATTTCAATTTTTCCGTTTTTTAGCATGTTGAATTTTAAAAATTGTACGTAATTTAAAACCAATTTTTCCAAAATCGAATAATTATCGAAAATATACAAAATATTTAAAACTTAAATATTTTATTAAGACTACTACTTTCTGGCCTTTAAGTAAAAATACTCAGTACAAATTTTACTTATATTTATGTTTTTAAAAAATATTTTGTTAAATAAATAAAGTTTAAGCGTAATTAGACTACTAGAAGGTAGCTGAAAAAACCATCAACCTAGATCTTCACGACTTCAAATGTTAAATAATGTAATCTTATTTTTGTTTACTAGTAGCATGAGTTTGTTATCTATATGTTTTTATTAACTTTACAAAGAATTGGTGTTTTGGACTATCTAGTAAAAATTTGGACTTTACTTAGACGTGAATAAAAACGGCTGAAATTCAATAAAAATAAAGATTGAAATAAAAAAATATGAAAATAATTATCGATCGTTTATTTGTCTGTAATTTTATTATTTGTTATAAAATAATAAAAGTAATACTAAGTAACTCTAAAGCCTGATACATAGAGCATCTTTTGTAAAAATTTCAGTCCTATATATTGCGAATTGAGTGAATAATAAATAATTAAATTTCAGAGAATAATTTTAAAACGTCTGATATTCAACCGTTAATATTAAGTCCAATTCCCAATTTAAAAATCTGTAACTTTCACAGTAGATGCTCTATATAATAGTCCTTAACTTTATTTAGTATTATTTATATTATTATATTAATAGATAAAGAAGTTTAATACAGTCAGACGTATATATAATCACCACGACGGACCAAATTTTGGTGGTGATTATAACAGTAGGTGATATTATTTGAAAAACATATGTATAATCACATCATACAAAAATTTTTATAATTAAACTTTTCATGTATATTTTACATTAATATTATCTTCCAATTCAGAATTTTCATTCATTTCAAAATTATAATTTAAAGTATCTACTTCAGTTATTTCAAAACTCATATCTGTAGAAAAAATACTATCTAATTTTTTTTGTTTTTTACTCATAAATTCTAATTTTTCAACAATTATACATATTTTTTAAATTTGATTAAATCTTCAAAAAAAAATCATTTGAATTTTGTTGTTCAAAAAAACTTATCCATTTTTTTAAAGATGTAAGACCTTCTTTAATATTAATAGTAGGTAATTCTTCATTTTCAGACTTATTGTTGATATTTCATGCTGTGATTTCTCCTAAAAGATATGATAAATTTTCAGATAATCATTATTTTGTTTTAAATAATGATAATCAAAAAAATATAGTCATAGAAACATTTGTCACATATTATTAAAATATTTACATAACATTTTGTGCAATAACAATTATTTACTTAATAAACAAAATTAGCACTAAAAAGTTTCATGCTACACATTAAACGTGATCATACTGGTATTGTGGCAGTTTTCCCAGAACATGAAGTAAGTTTATGACAATCAGTCTCACTAAATCAAATTCTTTTTGTACCCCTTTTCACACTCTTGCATAAAGTATGTCGTATGTAATAATATACTCTTTCCCTATAAGAAATATGCATATTTAAAAAATACTTAAAATATAATTAAAATATTATTGAAATATTATTAAAATATATT